CTGGCAGCACAGGGCCAGGCGGGGCACTGTGCATCTGGCAACTGCCAGTTTGTAAACAGTGCCCCTGTCATGCCAGGGCCCATTGCCTCCGGCTGGCCCCTCACTCAGGGGACCGACCCCCCCCCCCGCACCAGGCTCCATTGCCTCCATGGGGGCCAACAAAACGTTCCTCCAGCCCTGTCACGCGGCTGCCCCCAGTGCCCTGAGTGCCAGCCCTGGCCTGAGTGATGGCATCGAGGGCTGAGGGGCGGGTCTGTTATCGCCATGATGACTCCATGACATTGTGGAACTTTATTGTGGGCTGGGAAATCTCCGCTCCAGCCATTGACATCGGCGGAGAGGCCAGGCTGTGATGTCCCAATGGCAGATGGGTGAAAACAATCCACGAGCTGTGTTGGGAAGTCCCAGCGGTGCCGCATCCCCAGGCTCAGCGGTGTGGGGTTTATTCAGGCGCTGGGTGATCTCTGCCCCACAGCCCGCCCGGACTCTGAATGGCTCATTTCCATACCTCAGCCTCCATCTCTCTGCCTCAGTCCCGCCTCTTGGAACCAGGGGCAGTGAGAGTTCCCCGGCCTCCTGGCGGGGTTGTGGGGATAAAGGCAATAACCGCTTGTGAAGGGCGGAGACGCCCCGGTGAGGGGCCCCACCTCGGTTATAATGAACTAATCACCTTCTGCTCCGTTAATGCAATAAACGTCCCGGTTTGCTGAAAGGGCCCGAGCCTCCCTGGTGTCAATCAGGAGTAACTCGCGTATACTGAAAGCAGTTGCAGGGACTTTACACTGGCGGAGGATTTGGCCCCATGAGGAATTTGTTCCATCCATTGGGTGTGAGGCAAACCCCAATGAGGGCAGGGGGATAAATCCCATTGACTCTGATCCCATTGGCACTGGATCAGTCCCGCAATGCGCTTGTCTCCTGTACACTGGCGGAGGCTGTCCTGTGAGTCTGACACCGAGACGGGCCCCGGGAGAGCCAACGTGCCAGGTCTCCGAGGGGATAGTGATGCAAAACCGGACTCACTCCGGATTGGGGTTCCCCGATGAAGCGAGGGAACTGCGCACCGCAGGCTCAGCGGGGCTCTGGGAAGGAAAGGGAGACATTGACAGTAGAAAGAACGAAGAGTCCTTGTGGCACCTTAGAGACCAACAAATTTATTTGGGCATAAGCTTTCGTGGGCTAAAACCCACATCATCTGATGCATGGAGTGGAAAATACAGTAGGGAGAGATATATATGCAGAGAACATGAAAAGATGGGGGTTGCCTTACCAACTCTAACGAGACAATGCAATTAAACTGAGCTATTATCAGTAGGAGAAAAGAAAACTTGCAGTGATAATCAGGATGGCCCATTTCAAACAGGTGACAAGAAGGTGTGAGTAACAGCAGGGTGAATGTAACACAAACGGTAGGTTTGTGTTACATTCACCCAGTTGCCGGGTCTCCTGTCTAAGCCCGAAGGGGGGTGATTGTCACTGCTGCCCCTGCATGGCTGCCGGGAGAAGGGAGTTTGACTGTGTCTGTTGCACAGTAATAGATGGCGGCATCCTCAGGTTTCAGGCCGGACATTTGCAGATACAGCTCACTCTTGGAATTATTCCTGGAGATGGTGAATCGGCCTTTCACGGAATCAAGGTAGCGTATATCGCTCCCATCGGGGTTTATATCACCGACCCATTCTAGTCCCTTTCTGGGAGCCTGTCGGAGCCAGCTCAGGTAGGAATCGCTGAAGGGGAACCCGGAGGTTATGCAGGTGATATGGAGAGACTCTCCGAGCCTTTTCACACCCCCTCCGGACTCCTCCAGCTGGACCTGGGACCGGACACCTGAGAATAAAGACAGGCCATTACTATCGGTACAGAAATAGCAATAACACAATATTCTTCTAACTCTGCCAGTTATTCAGAGGGAGGAACGTACCTTCTAAAGCTGCTGCCGCGAAACTTAAAAGGAGCAAAAATCTCATCTTTCCTGGTGCTGGAGCGGAAAGTTCTCAGGCGACTGGCTGGTAACTGCTCAGACCCAGGGGCTGCGGATC